ATGGGGAAAAAGTAAGAACCAAGATGCATCATGTAAAGGTACAATTCCCAATGAGAAATGTAATTGTGTTGTATACCTACAATGTACCAATAAAGGAATTTAATTTAAAAAAAAAGATTTTTACATAGCATTTTGTTATAGTGCATATAAATACAATTTCAGGATATCAACTATAGCTTTTAAAAGCATTTTTCCCAGCAAAGAAAAAAAGGTATTGTAATCCAGTGCAGACAATGTACCTAATAGTGCACCCTGAATTTAGTACAATTGTCTTACATGTTTTACATGTTCTTTGGCCTATTAGTCTGGTTTTCAATCTATATATAAGATAATTAACCTCATAAGATACAAGATAAATGAATTTGATGCTAGAAAAATAAACAGGGTAGAGGGAATGGGGAAAAAGTATAATTGAAATGTGTTATGCACATCTAGTGATTTCTTATAATGAACGCAACCATTATATACTGCAAAAATGTATTAATAAAAGTAAAAACAATAGGGCACATTATAGTTGCAAAAAAATTGTTCTGAAACACTGACTTGTATTTGTTAGGTATTTCACATCTTATAGACAATGTAAAAGTAATTGTTAAAACTTAAACAAGTAGGGCCGGGGATTTAGCTCAGTGGTTTTGCCGCTTGCTGCACAAGCTCAAGGACCCGAATTCGATCCCCGGTACCAAAAAAAAAGGAGCTTTAAAAAATAAGTCTTAAAGCAACTCAAGAATGTATCTGTTTAGCATTTTAAGATATCCTGAAGTTAGTAAGTACAACTTTTGAAATATTCTAATAAGATAGTTTCAAAACACTCTTTTGTTATAAAGAGTTCATAACTATAACTTACCTGGTCTGTTCATGGGTTTGTTTATGCTGCCTAATGCTAACAGTTTTAAGAGATGCTAAAAAAATTTGCTTGCACCTCTGTAATACTGTACCATATCTCCCTGAAAACAGGACCATGTCTTATATTAACTTTTGCTCTGAAAAATCCAATAGGGCTTATTTCAGAGAATGCTTTATTTTTTCATGTACAAAACTCTACATTTATTCATGTGCAAAAATCTACATTTATTTAAATAGTACAGTTACTTCTGGAACATCATCATAACTCTCCAAAACCTGAATTCCATCCTGAATTTCTTTCGATTATGTTTCTTGTAGGACCACTGGCCCCAGTCTCTTAGCTGTGTCAGGTAGAGGTCTGGGGGTCAGGATCCTCTTGTGAAGAGATCCTTTGGTTCCCTGGTTCATCTCTCCACCCAGGCAGGAATGCAAGAGGTGAGTGAGGCTGACTCAGAACCAAAAGTCTCTCTGGAGTGGAATGAGAAACTCAGATAATGAAAGTGAAGTAAAGCGGAAGTTTTACTGATAATAGTGAAAAAGGCAGGGGAGGGGGCTGCCACACGCGAGCTGTATGACAGGGAGAAGCCCAAGGTGAGGTTCTCAGCCTGACATCTTTGTCTTGCTCATACTTATAGGGTAAACCATTTCTCAGACTGGTCCAGTTAGGATCTTTGTCTTTGTTTCTGGGGTGAGGTATGTAGTAGTTCACAGTCTTATAGTTCACAGGAGCTACGGGCACATGGCAAAAAGTATGCAGTGGTCCTCCAAGGGCAGCCCCTTTCCGTACATCATCTCGTGCAGTTATCTCCATTACACTCGCCACTCAGGTCCTTCCCTATGCTGCCTATCCCTCCCTAACTGTCCCTATACTTAGGTCCAGCAATAGAGCCCTCCTTAAATGAGCACTTCTTGTCCGTGTAGCCTGCTCATAGTGCATTGGCAACACAGCTGTGTTATCAGCGATTTTATCCCATGAGTTCTTTACTCAAGTTACAGTCTCTTACAGCCAAGCTTCACAAAGTTTCCGGTAAATCAGGTGTTAATCGAAGATGTATGAAACAGGAAGTTAAGAATCCACACATAAGAGATGAAAAATTGCAGGCATCAAAATTGAGAAAACACTTATTTCACATAAGTGCATTGAGTATGTCAGTTACAACACACGACATACTGAATTATGAAGATTCGTATTAGACACAACCATGCCCTTTCGTTACCAGGTGTCATGTTATTCGTGCATTGTGTCTGCATTCCAACTAGTCACTTGGCAATAAGTCTGGAGTTCATCTGTCTACATAGAGGCTCTGGTATTTACAAATAATTATAATTTATTTTAGCATTCACTTTAAGTATTGTCAATAATATTTATATTTAATTATACATTATTATTTTATAAATCAATACATCCCTCGTGTGTTGCAGCAGATGTACTAAATGCATCCATTTGGCTGATGACAGAAGTTCATTTGGGGGTAAGGCCTATATTATGAGTGTCCTGAAAAATCATCTAGGGCTTATTTGCAGGTTAGATTGTATTTTTGGGAAAATAGTGTAGATAAACTATTATTTTACTATCTAGTCTTTCCTTAAATTAAATGCTTAAAATGAGTTTTATTTTTAAATCACTTTAACTAAATGCCTTATAAGGTTCAAAAACAAAGATTTTGGGCTTTTCCCACATCAAGAGTGTGTTATTTTCTAAATATACAGTGCTTACATCAAAATATGACACTGTTGAGACACAGTATGAGTTACTAACAGAAGTTTTTAAATGACTGATGACCTATGCATATGGTAGCATAATTTATAATAGAAGTTAATGTTTTTGTTATAAATTAACAATATGTTAATAATATAGCTTTTAACTAAACCCTAATTATAACAGTGTGTTCCGAAACTATGTATTTTTTTGTTGAGACACAGTCTCACTTTGTATGACGACTGCCCTTGAACTCACTATGTAGCCCAGGCTGGTCTCGAACTCACCATGATCCTGTCTCAGCCCCTATAGTCCTAAATAAAAGGAGCCAAAGTCAAGGCGTGGGGGTGTTCGCCTTTCTGATGCCCTCTACTCTTTCAGAGTAGCTATCTTTTCTTTTTCCACTCTTTTTCAAAAATTGTCTTCCTTTTTTTTAAACTCTGCTTCTTTAATTCCTTACCGGTGCTGAGAGTTTTCGAACCTGGTGGCTGCATTTCCAGAGGAGCAGAGGTGCACTGCCCCCAACAACCCCCCCCCCCCGCAACACCTCGAAGTGACAAAGTAAAGGGGGCCCTTCTCCAGAGGTCAAATTGATGGGGCCAAACAATGGGGGGCTTTAAACCTCCAAGACTGTAGGATAAATAAACCTCTTTTCTTTATAAAGTACCCAACATCAGTCCATTTATAGTAACAGAAAATGGACTAATATAGCCCTATTTTACCGATGCAGGCACTATCTCAGGGAAATTAAGCAGGTTGTTCTAGGGCACACAACAACTTAGGGGCAGTTTCAAGACAGATTCTGAGTGTTTAAACTTCAAGCTTCAATTTTCAGTTCTATGCTGCCTTCCAACAAAGCAAAAATTCTTTCGTGTCTTGGGACTGGCTGGGTCCCTGAAGAGAGGATGTAGTGGTTTTCTGGGTGAAGAAAATATTCCCTAGAAAGACTTACAGCATCACCCCCTTGGAAATGCTTGAGAGGCAAGAACACATTTAAAATTTTGCATATGAAGAACGGATTGCCTATGTCTCTACCACACCATCAGCTATGACTTCAGCTGTGTTTTAAAATCATGTTTCTCATACTTGGCCCATCAAACTACTAGTGGGAGTGTGTTTTATGAGGTTTACCAGTCTTAGGAGGCTTTATTCATCATTGATTAAGCACCTGGTGTGTGCTGGGTGCTTTGTTAGGTAATGATACCCTAGTATTTGGCCTTTTTAGGGGTGTGAGCTGGCCATAATTCAGTGTTAGGTTACTCTACCATTTTAGATTGGGTTTTCTTCTAGATGTTACACACTGTTTAAGATAAGCTCCTCTCGGGGAATAACTTAGAGCCCTGCCAGGGGAAATCTGAGGTTTCTCCCTTTGGGGCACGTGGCACATACCATTCAAATAGGCATTCTGGATGTCAATGGCCTTGGTGGACTGGTCATCGGTGGAGCAGTGCAGGTGATGGGATGGAGCCACAAACACTTCCAGCATCCCTTTGGTGAGGCCTGGCTCGAACATCATGCTGCGGCTCCTCACACTCACGTTCTCGCAGCCTGGATACAAGTTGTTGATGCTCACAGAGACTGCAGGTTAGAAGGGAAGGACGTGAGACTTCACACAGCGCAGCCTGGGTGCTGGCTCTCCCCTCCCAGCCTTGCCATGAAGTTGCCTTTTCCAGAAACCCACCTGCCCCGACTCCCACCCAGGCCTCAGGCTGGTCCGAGCATCACCCCCTTGTGTGCTGTGTGGTGATGGCGCCTGGGGAGGCTGTGTTGGTCTGTTCTGCTCACCGTGCCTCCCCAGTGCTCTTTCTGCCTTGCTCTCTCTCCCCCTGAGAGGCTCTTTAGGGGCTGTATTCTTCTGGCTTGGTTGCTATTTGGTCTTCTGGTTAGGGCAACCACTGGGAGGCAGAGAAGGCAGGAGGCAAAAAAAGTTGGGGTATTTCCTTTCCTCTCATTTCCTGCTGCCTCTCTGGGACTAGCTGTGTCTCCCCACGATGCTGCCTCCTCCTGAGCAGTCCCTACCACAGCTCCAACATTCCCAGAACACTTAGGGTTGTGCCTCTCATCTTTTCAACCCAAGGGTGGTAACAGTTCTGCTATCTTCCTAGTATCTGGGTGCTTTACCATCTCTTCCATGTCCTTCTGAGTCCTGCCCACGACTGCCATTCCATTGGTAAAGTCTCAGGGTGTACTCTCCACTTGGACCCTGGCTGTCACAGAGGAACACCACGCTGGTCTACTAAGTTATTTTAGGTTGTATGCAAAATGCTTCCACACAGTACCAAACCATTACGTTAAACAATGCTGAATGACACAAGAAAGTTTTGAAAATCCCCTTGAAGGCCTTTCAGTTGCTCTGGCAGCACATTCCAATTTGTGGCATTTAGACTCTAACAACCCTTCAGTAAGTGCCATCTTCCCCCTTAATAACAAGAAAATGGGCAACAGTATACAGTTAGACTTTAATCACCCTATTCGATGTTCACTGCATTTGTTTTTACCAATGGCAGCGGTACTGAGTTGTCATTTACAGCAAAGAAATTAACTGTTTAACTTTCAATGAATGTATTTTAGTAAGTTAAAAATGAGCATGTGTATGTGTGTGCAAACATGTGGGTGCAGCTGAATCACAAACCCTGGGTCCCCCGAATGTGGGAACAGAGACTGCGCTCCCTCTCTGTCTTGCTGTGGAGAGCCTGTCACCCATCTCTCCACTACACTGAAGACCGGAGCCACCTTTCTGCTTCAGGGCTGTGACTTGGGGTCTCTTGGGGCCTGCAGTGGGTGCTCCCTAAATACCTGGTAAACAAATGCAATAGGGGAGGAACACAATGAGTGTGACTGTACCACACAGTACTGGTGCTTCAAGATCTGGAGCAACAGGCATTGAAAGTTACCAGAGCAGTGACCACTGCATCTGGGCAGTCTGACTTTTAAAACTGGAAATCCAATCACAAAGACAATCCCATACTTAAAGAGATCAAAGAGTCAAGACTCAAGACATGGAGAGTGGGAATATCCACAGGCGGGAACAAGGAGCAAAAAAGTAGATGGAAGAGACAGGGTTAGGTACAAAGAAAGAGGGTAGGGTAGCAAGAGGAAAGAGTTTTATATACACTTTATTATTTTCATAAAAGTATAACATTTGGCAAACAAGAATGGGAGATGAAAAGAGTAATGACAGCTTTCGAGATCATTACAGTCACATCTCAGTATATTCTTCTGCAGACCACATGTCCACATCTGATGGGGGCTCTGGCGATCCCCAGCAATGCGTATGGCGTTACCCTGTTCCCTGGAACTTGGGTCTAGAACAACCATCTGACAGGAGCATACTGGTTAATGGCCTGTGGGTTCCCTCGGACAGGCAGTATTTGGTAGGTGGCTGTCACTCCTTCCCAGGGTTAGAACAGGTGTTGTCTGTAATATGATTAAAGTAATAGCTTCTCTAGAAACACTGAAATCACAGAAAGAAAACTTTCTGTTCCTTGCTAAAGACTGCCTCCTGGTAGTAGAAAGTACCTGACCAGGAACAGAATGTACTTTGGCACCAGGGTCAGAAGGACTTCCTGAGCCTGCTGCTCTTTGGCCAGGACAGCAGCACTCTCTCAAGTGCTCCTCCCATGAGGGTGGATATTTTCCTTCATCCTGCAGAGCTACAAGCTCTGCAGCCACAACCCTCAGCAGGCCACAAAGCTGAGTGATGTGTGTGTCAGACGCAGTACAAGCAAGCAGAGTTCACTCAACAGCCTCCATCAAGCCTCATGAGTTAGGCCGGTGTGTAAACAAAAAGTCCTCCGATGCCACTTCCCACATCAGGAGCTCTGAGAATGTCTCAGATGGAACAATACCTCCAGAGGCTCAGGCTCTGCTCTGATCACCCAGTGCAGTCCTACATGGAAGAGCCAAAGTGGAGACTGGGCAGTGCTGTAAGCTGCAGTAAGGCCTCATTCCATAGACAAGGACCTACACCTCATCCTGCCTCCTGGCCACAGGTGCAGCCTTTGCCACCAGCATTTATGTGAGAAAGGCAACAGCAAAGTGCCAGGACTGTAAAAGCAAACAAACTTCCTGGTGTCTGAGTGATGGGGGGAAGACACATTCCCATGTAGGCATCACTCCCATGGGAGGAACAAGGCCTGACAAGTACAGGAGAAGTCACGGGAACCCAGAGCTCTGGCCAGGCACAGAGCAGAGCACGGCCAGTCAGGCACAGCAGGGCCACTGTGAGGGGATGACACTGTTGTTACAGAACCAGAGGACTTTCCTGGAGCAAGGTGCTCAGAGGTGGCCTTTCCTGTGCCCAGAAAGCAACAGCTATTTCTGTTCCACAGCACGCACCATCCACTGCCAGCACCTGAACTCCCCCAGCTGCATCTCACAGGCTCTTATATTTGTGGTACACTGCTATTTTGAGAATATAATTTTCCACTGATCAACAAGCTGAGGGCCAGGCAGGGACCAGTGGTGAGCTGCCCAGCCCACAGCTTGTGGGATCTTCTCTGGGTTCAGGCCCCGACCCCACCCCGTTGGCTGTGCCTCCTACAGCAGCTCCCTGGACACAGAGACAAGGGCCCCCACCAGGGCAGGAGAAGATGGTTCAAGTCTGGGGGGTACAGCCACTGTCTCTTCACCAGCTGCAGGCAGGTGCTGGATTCAACAGCAGGGATCCCATTACAGCGGACCCTTGACTTAGGAACTCAATTCATTTGGGAGGGCTAGGTGTAACTCAAGTTGGTTCTAAGTCAAGACTATTTTTCTCACAAGAAACAATGGAAATAATGCGTTCTGAACCCCTCCAAAGCACCCCTTAACTAACGTTTTCATAATAAAAAAGGGTTGTATAACATGCAAAATTTACCAGAAACACCAATAATTTTCCTCGTGTATTCACCAAAAAGTCACAGAATGTACCTAGTTTATCAGGAACAATTTCATACTATACTCACCATTCAAGTTGACGTCTTTGGCTTAGGAAGGGAGGATGAAATGCAAGGTGGTTATTGTTTGGAAGGAGAACATAAGAACATCAGGAATCTGGCTCTCTGCTGTCCTTTTTCTCCTTGGGAGTCTGTAGCCCAGTGAGACCTGCTTCTGGCTCAAAGGTCTCCACCTTTCCAGAACTAAAACCTGGTCTGAGGTTGTCTGTTTCTGTCTTTAACTCTGTTCTGCTGTATGACATGACATTGTCACCAAGCAAGTGAATGTAACGATTGGCTTTTTCTCTGTCTGGGTGGGTCTTCTCTACAAATGTTTGTAGCTCTGTCCATTTCTCAGGATTTCCTTTATTTCAGAAGAAGTCTGCTGCACTGTTTACTGATATTCCCCCTCCTCTTCAGAAAGCTCCTCAGCTGCCATCCTCTGTTGCTCAGCCGGAAGTTGCTGAAGTTCCTCTGTAGACAATTCCTCTGAGTGTTCCTCCACCAGTTCCTCAACATCACCACTGTCTACCTGCAAGCCTATGGACTCTGCTGTAGTGACAGTGTCATCAACCACAGGGTCAGCTGAAGGCTCAGACTCCTCTACACAGCCTTCAAAGTCTCTCTCCTGTATAATTTTAGATCACACTTTCTTCCAGGCAGATATCAGTGTCCTTAAGAGACACTGATTCAGGATTTCTCAATTAACCCCACACAGGAAAGACCAGCATTTGGGTCATAACTCAAGACTTTGGTCTTAAGTTATAACTAAAATTCTGGTCGTACCCAAGTTGTTCATATGTGAGGCCAGTCATAACAAGGGTCCACTGTACTTCCAAGATTGTGTAGAAAATTACTTTGCCCGCCACTCAGAGCAAACAGGCAACCAGGCATTAAGCAGTGCAGGCCACTCTTCTGTTCTTGTCCGAGTCCTTCCCCCTTCCAGAGGCCACCTAGCTTTGGGCAAACATACTTCTAATACTGACCAAGTGTGACCCTAGCCCTGGGATCTCAACAGCCAAAGGATTTCTGTTCCAATAGACTGTCCTTTCTCCACTGGCCTAAAACGTCATTACAGCAACAGGGCAGACTTCACACAGGGGTAGGAGGGCCACCTCTGCTCTCTTCTATTCTATGGGGCTCAGAGTAGAATGGAGTTCATGCGAGACATAGAGCCCATGTCCCTAACCAGTGCCATACAGGAAGGCAAATCCAGGGTAGCTGAGGTGTCCAGTTTTCTGAGGATCTTAGGTGATCTCTTTATTTAAATGCTGAAAACTAAAACCATTTTCTTCTTGCCCTCTTCTACTCTAAGAAGAAAATAGCAATTTGTTAGGTCATGCCCCTGGTGGCCGGTGTTCATCTTGCTTGGACAGCAGCCACACTCTTATGTCTCTGAGTCTCGGGTTACTTTCCTTGGAATGGGATTATGATTCAAGCTCCAAGTGTTTCTGTGGGTCTTCCTGCCTCTTACGGAAGTACCCACACACTGTTTGATCTCTGCCTAAGGAGCAGGCACCACATAAGCTGGCCACACTTTGCCTTCTCTTGTTCCTTTCTGGCATGTGTCACTTTCCTAAGACTTGCAAGTCCCCAGTGGACTTACTCAGAGCTGTGCTTCTTGAGTAAAGGATGAGGTTCAGCTCCTGGGAAGGGAAAAGCTCATCGGAGGTTTTCTCCCTTCAGGTCCTCCTGGTAGCAAAACCAGCATCCTCTGGGTGATAGGACTCCAAAAAGACTAGAGAATAGAGCTGCATGGGACTTAAAGCAGCATTTACTGCCTGAACCATCTTCCCGGAGAAGCAGGCTTCCACCAGCAAGCGTGAGCGAAAAACGGAAGGATTCAGCTGGAGAAGGCAGCCTATCCTCCCAGGGAGACCAAGGACACGGGAGGAGCAGCCTCCTCGCTGGGTTGCCAGGCTCTGCTGAGAGCCTGTGGGTGGCATCTGCTCTAGGAGCAGACTGTCCCCAAGGAAATCTGTCCCAGAGCGCTGCAACCCAAGTCTCTGCACGCTCGGCTGGAGGACGGGTTCAGACAGGGAGGCTTGCTGACAACATCACCATCCTGAACCACAGCTTTCCCAGAGCCTACTTCAGAGACCAGACTTGGAAAACTGACAGAGGGGAGGGGAATGGAAGCGTTACTTCTGCAGGGTGAAGACTGAGTAACAGTTAAAGTTCTTCCTCCTAGGAAACTCATGTCACTAGCTATGGGCCTCTGGGGCAGAAATCTGCACAAGCAATCAGAACCAGACCACTGGTTCCAAACCTCTCGTCTACTGATCTCATCTTTCTCTCTCTCCCATTTCCCTTTCCCTCCCCCCCCTCCCCCGTCCCTCTCCCTCTCTTTCCAGGCTCCTGTCCTATCAGGCTTCCCCAGCAGGATGGCCAACCTTCTCTACAGCTGGCACCAGGGATGCCAGAGGGGCACACCATCCACTGAGGGGCTGAAGCCACAGAGGCTGGCTCTACTTCTCAGATCCAGAAAACAAATCTGTTCTACAGTGTAACCAATCTAAGGGAGCCAACAAAACAGCAGAAAATGTGAGATGTGCACATGTAAATGTCATTTCCAGAGTGTCACTGACAAGCAGAGGCTCAGGCACCAGATGCTCCGTGGGTTGGCAGCTTTGGGACTCAGTGCAGCCACTGTCCTCTCAAGGCTCCAGAGGCCTTCGCTGCACCTCAGGGAAAGCACTCCAGGGGCTGTCGCGTGCACTGAACGAGGTATTGGCATACCACGTTTTGTCCAGTTTCCTGGCACTCAGTTAGTGCTCAAAATTATTAGCAGTGCATATGAGCAATTTTATCAGCCTACTAACTATAAATCCACATTGGTTGTATTTCTTACTCGAGTTTCAATTCTATTGTTATGCTCAGAGAAAGAAGTTAAGAAGTTTGAGTAGATCTCAGCCAAGTGTTCCCAGCTACTCATGCTCCCCAGACATCCTGCCTCACTGAGAGAGGCAGGTCGCAGAACTTCCAATCACTCTTTCAATCTAGGGAACAGCTAGGGCACCTTCGAAATGTCACGGGCAGAAAATGTTCCTGGGGCACACGGTGACACAGCTAACACTGTTGGAAAATTCTTGGAAGGTCTCTATTCTCACTCTCACAAAAATTCATTCCCTCCCTTTAAAGCAGAACTCTGGAGAAAGGACGCCCAAGAGCACAGTCTCTTCTGCTCACTGAGGTCACCTCTCCTCTGGGGAAGGAAAGGCAACTCTGCAGGCCTGATACGAGCCTGGACAGTCCCTGCAGGAAGAGGGTAACTGTGTCTACAGAGATCAAAGGCGGAAAGAGTGCCAAGCCTGCTGGCCAAAGAGGGCTGGTGTGATGTGGTCAAACGGAGTGACTGCTACAACCATGAAGGAGTCTTTGGAAACAAGGCTCAGCTGCAAGGGCTAGGCCGGGCAGGAACAGGGTTTCTTCAGGAAGCACTTTTGCTGCTCTGCATTCTCACGTGCCTGGTGTGCCCGTAACACTCCAGAAAAAAACCAGAAGGGTGAGTGCCCTCCTGGGGGCCAGAACTGTGTCGGTGCTGTGTTTGGACCTGCACTGGCCCAAGGGTAGAGTCCTTGAGTAGAACACGACGCAGTTTTGCAGTGTGCACTTGTGATTCTGGACCTTTGCATCTGTGTGATCTTAATGAAGGGTCTTTTCCACAATGTTTGGGGCAATTTGCCATCCCTGGACAGGACAGGGTGGGATACAAGACCAACAGCCAACTCAGATTACATCAGGCCACCAAGGCCATGGTGTCTGCTCCTTCACAGGGCAAGGGACCAAAACACAAGACCTCAAACTGGACTGTAGCCTGAGAGAGTGAAGAAGCCAACACCTGCTGGACACATCACAGCCCTCTGGAGGCTCCTACCTGTTGGCTTAGCAGCCAGAGGCGATGGTGGGAAGCGAGTGGAGTTGGTGGAGGAGAGGCGGGGCCGGCGCCTTCGGAAGAAGCTCCTCAGCAGGCCACACTTGAGAGATTCCACCAGGGTGGTTTTCCCGGACCCTGAGTGGCCAAAGAGCTTGAGCTTGATTCTTGGCTGCAGGTTCTGTGTGGGACGGAGCTGCTGGATGAAGAGCCCTCGGTGTGTGTCCTGGACATGGAGGAGAAAGCCTGATAGTCACAGGGAAGCAAAAGCTCGAGCACGTGTTGTACGATCACTCTCAGGTTTCCTATTCCTGGGTTTTGCTCGTGTTACAGATGCAGTTTCTTTCTATCTCCACTGAAATTTTTAAAAATTCAAGTAAAATTCTCACCTACCATCACCATTTTAAAGTGTACAGCTCATAGGTTTTTAGTGCATTTCTAACGTTTCCTAACTAACACTGTGATCTAGTTCCAGAGCACTTTCTTCACCCCAAAAGGAAACCTACCCATCAACAGTCACTGGCCTTTTCCCTCTCCTCGGCCCTGGCAACCACTGCTCTGCCTTCTGTCTCCATGGACTGCCTGTTTGCACAGCACTGTGATGCATAGCAAATCCGGTAGAGGGACTGTGAAGCCATCAACTTAAACACAATTAGGATGAGCTCTGTTTGGCCAGACGGAGTGGCCAGTTCCTCTCTGTGTGGAGGGTCTGGTTCCTTGATAGCAGTGTCACAGAACAGGAGGGCAGGGAGATAGGGTAGTACAAGGGACAAGGCTTCCTGTTGTGGAGGGGATGAAGGACATAATAATCTTCTTGTTTTCTTCTCAGTCTTACAGCAGGCGTTCCCCTCACACGTACTCATTCATGGATTCACTCACTTGCTTATCCAAAACACAAGGATCATATGCTGCTTGTGCTAAGTCCAGTGCTAAGGACTGGAAGACTTAGACCAGGCTAGATCTGTACCCCGGGGAGGCACAACACGGACTGCTTGGCATTAAATGGAGCACAAGTACTCTCAGGTGGGACAGTGTTGCCAAGGTGCTCAATAAGTATCCAGAGAGCCCACCTCAAGGCCTGTGTGGTGGGGCTTCCCTTGTGCCATCTGGTATCTCCTGCCTCACACACCTACTTCTCTTCCTTCACATCCTGTGCTGCTCCCGAAAAGCAGCTCCCTGCCTGGAGCTGCTGCATGCAGCCTGAGCCCCCGCCCCATCCAGGAGGACACCTCTTGTTTTAGCCTATCACATGTTCCACAGAAGCAGTCTTGCCGGTCATCTCCCCTGAAAGCTTCCTCCCCAGGCTCCATTGTGACCCCAGACTGGAGAATTAGGGGGAGGACTGCCCTTGTAGACTAACAGCCAACTGGAAGGTGGAGACAAAATCCCTAGTCCTGACACACGTAGAATGCCCCATGAACAGGCTTTGTATATCCGACTTCAGTCATAGGGGCCCTCGCAAGGGCATCCTGGTGAGAGCTCACATGTGGTTGAACTATATCTTCAGTTTTAATTCTGAGATGCTCATTTTCTGTTCATCTCTAATAGCGGGGCTACTGCTGTTTTCCATTAATAACTATGCAGTTACAAACTCACGGGTTCCCCGCCCCTGCCCCCCAGATTCGTTTTCCTACCTTCATTTTTTATTTCTAAGGTGGGGGGAAACGGGACCAGGCATTCTCAGGAGATGTAACACTGCCACCTAGTGGGCACTGTGGAAAGCTGCAGGTGGCATGTGCAGGTCTCACAATGGCATGTGCAGTTCTAATAACATAGGCACGCTCCTGGTGCTGGACACTAGGTGTCTCAATAATGCAGGCACAAAATGTCCCACACAGTGGGGAATGTCCCTGGGTCCTAGTCAGCATCCACTGAGCATTTACACAGAAGAAAACCCTGTTTAGGATTTAACTGCATTACATGCACAACCCAGAGGCTTGGGGAGGGCACGGTTTCATGTACCCTGAGTTTTCCAAGATTGTGTCTATCTTATAAAGTGGCATTTGAACACACTTTGTTTTCCCCTCATCCCAGAAAACTCCATTAGCATGCCCTGGGGGCCTTCGAGCTGCCAAGCCAGTCATCCAGGTGGTGCCTGCCAGAACTGCTCCCAATAGCCCCGGGGATGAGTGGCATCTGCCCTCACCACCCCTGCAGCCTGTGCCCACCATGTGCATACTGGGACCACCGTGTCTTATTACAAATAATTTCCCTTCAAAGTCTGCTCTTTTCCAGAGAGGGCACACACTGACTTTTACAATTATCTGTATAGACAAGATGGATACGGATGTGTATAGATACGTATGGGTTTTACTGCAGGGAGGTAAAGGGGCACTATAGAAGATCCATCGTAAAATGCCAAGGAGGCTTGGGTTGGAAGTCACAGCTCTGAATGGTGATGTGTGGAACATTCTGGTTTCCTCTTCTAACCTCAAATCTCAACAAGTTCACAGACAAAATGCTACAGATCTCAAAAAAGGATAAGCTATCTCACTAGCAATTCCCCTGGTTCATTATCTGGGTCAGCACAAAGGCTGACAAGGCTCTATTCTGAAACAGGTGCACTGTAGAAGCATCTGGTAGGCTGGAAGGAATGGGTTGGGATTCTCTCCTGTGTCCTACCTGTTACACGTCACCCAGTGTGACCTCGTTGCCCCTGACCCACTCAAGAAATCTGGCCTTCCTCCCATCAACTTTACCTTCAGAATTAGCTCCTCACCCTCCTCTGGGTCCACAGCACTGCCTACGCCTCTGTCGCATAGAAGCCCTAAGCGGGGTCACTGTGGCAACAGCCATCACCTTCCACTGTGAGCAGCCTGCCAAGCAGGTAAAAGCATTCTCTCCACCTGCTCCAGAACACACAGCTCACTCCACACAGAATCCTGCGCAGCAGTGTCCACTTCCCTGAGACAGTGAAGACAGCACAGACCCTGCTTCCAGCCTGAATCCCCCACGAGGTCCTGGAGGACTTGTTTTTGTGCCACGACTCAGCTTGCAGCTCATTTCTGCCCATTCCCTGCCCTGAAGGAGCACTCTTTCCATTCTGCAAGAATTCCCAAGGGCCCCTGCACTCACAGAAGACCTGAACCACAGAAATCTGCACACACTGCTGCCCCAGTGTGTGGCTTCTAGAAGCGACTCGGAACTTACAAGGTGACTTGGCCCTGAGAGCCTAGGGTGAGTCATGCCTGAGCTTCCTTGCATGAATTCTGAAGTTCCCTACTTCAAATTCAGTGAGGGCAGTGGTGGGTCAGCAGCTGCTGATATAGAGGGGAGAGATAGCTAGGAAGAGTGAGACAGATTTGCTGTCTGCAGTGATAACCTACTTCTTCATGCATGATACCTTCCAACTCCTATGCTCTCATCCTTTATTTAAGCATCTGAGAACTTCCGTGGCCAACATCTTTATCCTCCCCTTCAGGTGAGGAGACTGAGGCTCAGCGAGGCCAAGGCACTTGCCTGAGGCCATACAGCAAAGCGAGAACTCACCACCGGTCTTCTATCCTTCCCGGTGTGAAAGGGAGGTGATGGGGAGAACAAGCAGGGATGGGGTGGAAAGGAGCCACAAGGATGTGCAAGCTGAAGGCAGACCCTCAGAGTGGCATGCTATAGATTCAAGCCCTGAGGACCACCCAGGCAGCACCATCCTCACAGAAGGCCTCCCTTGGCAGTGCCTGTCTCAAGCACACATGGCTATTTTAGGTGAGATTTGTAAGTAATAGCTACAAAAAGGTGAGTAAAATGACAAAGAGCTCTCCTTGTCTAAATTTTCATCGACAATAGGCAAACGTGTCATTTTAGCCCCTCATCTGAGTTTATTTCATAGGCAAATTTTTTTCACTTTCTGGTCTCAGTGTGAGCAGTCTCCTGAGTCCTCCATACGCCACAGGGTCTCAATTCTCTCAATTCCCAGAGACATTCTTCCCTTGAACTCTCAGCCTTAATTTGCAGGGACCCATACTCATCTCAGAATCTTTGTCTTATCCAAGAATGTGTTAGATTTACAGCTCAGCTTTTATGCTGTCCTCCACTCTGGGTGACCATGTAATCAAACCCACCTTCTCACTTTACTAGAGAACACTAAGGGAGGCAGAAAAGGCTTTCAAAGGGCAAAGAGCAGTGAAAGGCGTCTCCGACTGCCCTCTTTCCAGAGCCCTCTCACTTCTCCCTCTGCCCAAGACCTGGTGGTCTCAATAGAGAGGACCATGGCGTAAGACAGGAAACTGCTCTCTGCTCATGATGGGCAGAGTTTGCTACAATTTTGAAAGACAAGGAAAAGAAAATGTCCTCAGTTCTTCTAATTCTAAGGAAGGGAATCTAACCTCATCCCCAGGAAGACCCATCATGCTCCTCCCTAAGACGTGGAGCATCTCAGCACAGCTGAATTCCCAACAGCTTTCCGTCGTCTCTCCCTCATCTGCACAGGTGCTGATTCCACTACAGGGCAAGGCAGGGATGAGCTGCAGGGCAGAAGGGCTCCAAGCTGGTTCTAGAAGGTGGTATGAACATTAACTTATTTGAAAAGGAGCACAAAAGTGTTCCTATGGTCAATGTTTTACCAAAGCTACAAGACCACCCTGAGACCAGGGCTAGCCACTAAGCGGGCCCCACCAGGCCTTCACTGGCTGGGCCAGGGGAGAGCAGGCCCGGCAACTGCCTCAGGGAGGTAGGGAGCTGGCTTATTGCACTGTTTTGGCTCAGTCCTTTAAGTGCTCTCCAGTGTGTCCCCCAGGCCTGTGGGTGTGCCTGAAACACGTGCAGGGCCTGAGCGTCCGTGGCGTGGGCGAGCCTTCCTCAGGGCAGGTTGAGACCAGGCTGGGAAGAGAATGCAGCTCCTGAGTCAGTGGTCACAGAACTGGATGTGCGCGGCATGTTACACTCACCGGCCTTCGAGCTTCACTTACTGTAAATGTCTACATAGGAAGGTGAGCCTCCGTTGCTGGCTTGCCCAAAGATCACCAAGTAACAGAGGCTGACAGCCCAGCCAAGTGCAAGGCTCTCTGTTTCTCCTCCTGACCCTGACCCTGTGGTCTGAGATCCGGAGGGAATTCCTAAACCCAATCTACCCAATCTCCTCACCAAGGTCTGTGAGCACTGCTGCCTTCCTGGCCATGACAGGCATCACACACCACTGGCCCTGGCAAGTTACCCTCCATTCTCGTTTGCTCACTGAACAAACTCAAAGCTGTACTCCTTGGGACCTTTGCCCTCGTCATGCTTTACCTG